GACATCCAATTTTGATACATTTAACACGCTGTAACAGAAGAATTCATGGAACTGTATCTATACGATGAATTATAAGACAAACATGCATCCCCCATGGCTTTATCCCCGTCTCCTCTCTATTCCAAATACACGTACACGAGTTTGTAATCATCAGCTCGCTCCTTCAATCACTGCAAAGGGCAACACAGCATAACAACCGTGTTCAATTGAGTATGAAATTGAATGTGTACTCGAGTACAGGGAAAGGGAGCAGGAGATATCAGAACAGCCTACCTCGGCATCATCAGGTCCTCCGGGTTTGTTCGTGGCATCCCCCTTCTGGCCATCTTCTGTGAAACGGAACCGAAATACTTTTTAGAATACCATTTTACATGAAGCTACGTTGATACGGGACATGCCAATATCATCTTTAAGTTTTCTTGAATGTATACTCGAGGATATTTGGCATGTTGAGCATATAATATATCAATATAAATGCTCAGTCCAACTATCAGCTTAGGTTTTTAATTCAGATGAAGCATATGTTAAGACCAGAGCCAACCCCATGCAGGAGCACACGTGAAGGGGCGTGTTGCGCATATAATATATAAACATAAATGTGTAATCCAACTATCAGCTTAGGCTTTTAGTTGAGATGGAGCACATGCTTCAATTTGGCAAATGTCATACAAGAAAGCTATCAGGTGGATCCAAAATTTATTATAGAAGGTTCCCTTGCCTCGGTGCATTCCCAATATTTAGTTAAGGTCAGGGTACACCTTAGAAAATTTACCTGCATCTTCGGGGATATCAGCAGTCCATAACGTAAGATTGTCCCTCAGGAGCTGCATAATCAAGGTGCTATCCTTGTAGGAGTCCTCATTCAGGGAATCCAGTTCTGCAATTGCTTCATCGAAAGCCTGCTTTGCAAGGTGGCATGCCCTAATCACAACATCAAGAACAGGACATAAACAGAATTAATTATGCCTGACAAGACATGCTAAGGTTCAACAAATGAAAGAACTGGTTAAGGTGAACCTTTCGGGAGAATTAATGATCTCGTAGTAGAAAACCGAGAAGTTCAAAGCCAAACCCAATCGAATGGGGTGTGTAGGTGGTAACTCAGCCTCTGCTGTAGTGGTAGCCGTCTGCAAGAAAATAGAGAAACGGTAAACTCAAATATGGTCACTTTCTTTCGAGCATCCATACATTTATTTACCTTAGACATACAAAACAACGGGGATAGTATAAGAAACAATAATACATATTTGTACCCTTTAGTGTCTCTTAAACTAGTGCACGACAATGAGAAAAACCGAACTCAAACAGAAAGCAATTATATACCTCGTACGCTTTCAATGAAAGATCAGCAACCTCTTTCTTGTCATTCCCATCCTTGAACTCCGCAAGATAGCGATAATAGTCCCCCTTCCTACACCCAAAAGATAAATCAAACGAACATCTAGAGACATCAAACAAAGGCATTAGAACATGTCAATAAACCCGAGTAAAAGCGTAAAACCCCCACATCTTGTAGTAAAACACAGTTGACTCTCCAGGATTGGATGAGGGGATGAGATGCTCATCAATCACAGTCATGATATCACTGCATATATTGGTGAGCTCCATCTCCACCTTTTGCCTGTACTCCTTGATCCTCTTCACATTCAGATCATTCCCCCTTGACTCTTCCTTCTGCTCAATGGATGACAAGATCCTCCATGATGCTCTCCTAGATCCCACCACATTCTTGTACCCTACAGATAGCAAATTCCTCTCTTCCACAGTCAATTCCACATCCATTTTTGCCACTTGCTTCATAGCATCCACCATCTCTGCCAAAATTCAAAACCAAATTCCCTAAAATCTCTAAGATGGGTGAGGAAAAAGAACAGATTTTGACTAAAAACAAGAACTAGATTGTAATTGAAAACGACCCAATTTCAGTACACTAGTGAGCTCACTCGAATAAGTAGTAAAAATTCAATCTTTAAGCTCTGTTTGCAATAAAATAATCATATAGAAGTAGGATTAAGCGAATCTTATGTATCATATAGATGAATGTATGTATAGAGAGAGAGGGGGGGTGGCGGAACCCTAACCGTCGTAGCGTTCAGCTTGCTCGGCAATCTTGGCGACATAGACGAAGTGCTCGCGTTGTTTAGAGGAATCCATGGCAGATCAGTGTCTCTCTCAGAGGTTTTTTGCTCTGCTTAGTTGTTGAGACTTGAGAAAGACTAAACTCCAAAGCTCTTTCTAGCTTTTCCTCTGCCTAGCACAGCTGTTACGTTGCAATGTCGCATTTTCTTCGACAAAGACGATGATTTTTTGAGCTGTCATCCCAAGAGTTGACAATGGAAACCCTTCAACTTTGATCTTTCAGAGATTGACCCGGTGAAGTTTCTTTCTTTTGCATTTAACTCCCTCCACTAGTCCACTAGCCCACTTAACTTTGATTTACGTAAAAATTTACAATCACCGTGCGATTTGAGTGAAAATTCATCTTATGAATCTAGTAAATAAAGCGCTTGATAGGTATATCGACGGATCATCGGGAAAAATTATTCCAAACCATCTACCGACCTGGAACAATTCGGCCTGACCTCCAGTAAAGAGCCGACCAGGGTTTTGTTAGCGGCCCTATTTACTGGGCCTCAGGTCGGATCTTTCCCGGTCTTCTTAGGTCGGGAGCAAGATAAACAACCCGACCTCTTTCATTTCGAGAGTTGGATAGCGATCCCACTAGTCTAACTCGGCGACGGCAAAAGTAAGAGCGTCAGAAGTCTTCGTACATGTGGTGGAGTCCGCCTCGAGGCTTGTCTCTCTGCATGAGTAGCACGTGTCGCACATGCCGAGCGCATTAAGTACAGGGAAGAAGGACTTTTGGAGATACTTCAATATGGTCTTATTTAGCTCGAGAACCTCTAGCCTTACATTACCAACCGAGCTTAAATACTTAAACCAACAAGTAGACCATTAAGAGACCGACCTACGGTCTGACCTTGTACATTATGTATTCGTGGAACCTTCGATATTTACCACATCAGCGCCAAATGAGATAAATCAATCTAGGTTATTCGTAATTAAACGGCTCAAACCAATATGGCTAATACACAACTCTTATATATGAAGAATCGGACTTTTACAGAAAATATTCAATTCAAATCCTATCACCCCCCACTTAGGGAAACAATCAGGTAGCAATGGACCTCAAGGTCCTTGGTGGTTCGAGAATAGTTAAACATGTCGATACCCTACTCATTTTCATCATTAAATCAAACATACTACTCATAGATTGATTAACTTAAATGATAGAGTATTAGGTTAATAATGTTATAAGTGTGACAACTCTTTTATTGTATTAATTAATTATCATTATTCCATACTTGATTTACTAAATTAAAACAGTAAATAAATTTTTTAATTATTTCTTTTTTTGTTGTTTCCTAATCGAAAAGAGAAATTTTAATGTAGATACTAAATTTGTAATGATTATATCCCGATGTAAATGTAGTTTTGATATATGAAAGCAAAGATTACAATTTATCAATTACATCTTACGACTTACATGACATATTTAATATTGATTGGTCACATTAATTCTTTAATTTTACTTATTTTTTTAAAAAGTATTTTATTTATTTTGAAATTCAATTTTTTTTTTTGTATTTTATATTGCTTTTAATGTTTTTTTAGACATATAAATTTATATACTAATACTAAACTTACAAAAATTGAACAATTGAGTCAAATTAAATATCATTACCTGAAGCATACATACAAAACGAGATAGGTAAATTGAAGTATATATTTCAGTATTTCACTCAAACCAAACATATTTCAAAGTATTTTGAATGTCGGGTATAAGAAACCACTCAAAGTTTTGAATTTATAATTAATTTTATAATGTTTTAGGATTTAAGAAATAAATAAATATGAAAAATAAATGTAGAACTTGATTGAGTGCTTATATAAACACGTATTATGTTTAATGGAATAAAAAAAAAATGTTGGGGGTGTAGAGGGTTGGAGAAATTGACTCTATTACAGGTAATATTTGTTTTATACTTTCTCTAAGTACTGTCACCAAAGAGTCAATACCCCACCATCGAGATTTGATCATGTGACTTTCCCTCAAAGGGAGGGACAAAGATACTATATGAGCACATGCTATACAAATATAATAGAATAAAGTTATCATTTCACTATTAACTATTTGATTGAAAATTGGTATCAAAGGGTCATCTATCACATTTGACATAGTGATAAATGTTTCATCATACAATACAAAAAAAAAAAAAAAAAAAAAAAAAAAGTTAGCAACAAATACTAAAATAAATTAGTACAAATACTAAAATAAATGTAATAAATATCTCATTTTTTATCTCGATGTTGTCTAGTTACGATCAGGGGCACGAATTTACAGTGGGATAATTGTGGCCACATGTCACATTTAACGTAACGATAAATGTTTAATTCTATAATAAATAAATAAATAAAATAGTATAAACGGGTCCTTTAATGTTCTCGTGTTGCTGATTTTTTTTTTTTTTTTTTTTTGGTATCTAGAAATTATAGTACAAATACTAAGATAAATTTTAAAAATAGTATTCTATGTAGTTTCATTTTTTTATCTCGATGTTGTCTAGATACATCAGGGTGGATCTACATTGAATTTTTCATTTATTTTTTACCTATTGTTGTTTTTAGTATATTTGTTTTTGTTTTTAACTTAAAATTAAAACACATTTATGTGTCATTGTTTTTGCCTTTTTGGCCCTTTTGTGTCCATTAGGTTCAAAGAATCAGAGCTTCACCCCTAATAATATTCCATTAATCCTTCATTCTTTTCACCCAGATTAAAAGAAATTTCCAAATCTGTACGTATACCCAACTTACCGTCCTAATATGTTTATGCGTCAATCTCATATATATAGGGACTAATATAATCTCACTGCGTCATAGCAATATATCCCTGCAAATCAATAACCAGCCAAGAAAATCACATTTCTTCCATAACCATGGCGGTAAATCAGCAAATGATATTTCGCAGGGGCCACAAGGTGGAAGTAGCGAGCCTGAAACACGGGTTCCGGGGATCTTACTTCGAAGCAACGGTGGTGATGGAGCTGACGGCGGTGAGGGAGTACATTGTCCAGTACGAGACTCTCGTCAAGAACGACTTGTCGGGGCCGCTTCGCGAGGTGGTCTCCGCCGCCGAAGTCCGCCCCGTGCCGCTGGATGTCAGAATGATAAGAGATTATGGTGGTGGGGAGTTCAGACGGGGCGATAAGGTGGATGCGTATGACAACGACGGGTGGTGGGCCGGGGAGATCATTGGAAAAGTTGGGACACGTACACGGTGTACTTTGATTACAGTAAGGAAGAGATTGCGTATACCGTGAACCGACTAAGAGTTCATCTTGATTGGATTCATGTCACAGCTAAGTGGGTTGATTCCATGGGGAGGTCTTTGGATTTTCAAGTCGTCTAGGTTTTGTGTTCTTAGGGTTTGACATGTTTTTAATGATTATTTCTCATTGTTCTTTGTATTATCATTTGAGGAAGATGATGTTGCTAGCTATCAAGATAGTTTTCTAGTGTCTATTTATGAGTCAATTGTTATAATCTATGATTTTCGTGGAAGGTTGGTATGCAATGCTGAAAGGTGTGTTTTGAGTAGATTGACAATTTTTCGATAAACATTATTGGTGCTTAATCTTTTGGTAACTACTGATCGAAAGGTTGACAACAATACATGCATTTTCATAAGGTGCATGCTCACGAGTACCTTACGGTGCTATGTAAGCACCTCCCGTACGGTGCTCAATAATTAGCACCTTACAGAGGTACTAAATTAAGCATTGAAAGGAAGTACTTTTTGGTAGCTTTTTCATAAGGTGCTCTCAAATAAAGTGTTATGTAAACAGTTTTTGTAAGGTAGGTGTTAAGTTAAGCACCACACCTTTTTGTAACCTCCAAAAGGTTGACAATAACACCTTTACTTAAGGTGCTTACAAATAACGTGTTATGTAAACACCTCGCAATATCAAGGTAGGTGCTAAATTTAGGATTTCATAAGGTGCTCATCACAAATAAGGTGCTATGTAAGCACCTTCCGTAAGGTAGGTGCTAAATTAAGTGTTGAAATGAAGCACCTTTCGATACAAAATACATTATAAATTCTACTAAGATGTTTTTTTTTTTTTTTTTTTTTTTTTTTTTTAAGACTACATGATAGTTTGGGGCGAAGTCAAAAATATATTTTTAATTTGTTAATTAAATGATTTATAAAAGTAGGCTAAAAAAACATTTAATTTTTCTTATGAATGATTCATAAAAGTAGACTAAAAAAATATTTAATTTGTCTTATGAAAGAATGAAAGAGGTCAAATAAAAGAGAAAAGAGGAAATCTAAGGGCAAATGCTACTAATGAGATACAAACCTATAACATACATAGACTATTTTACATCAAATTTAATTTAAAGTTTCAACCAACTAAGCTACTCAAACATTTAGTGATTTATATATAAATATAAATTTTAAATATAAGTTCATGCTATTTATGTACATTCTTCCAAAAAGGTTGAACCCCAACCCTAAGGGCCCCCGCTATTTATGTGCATATATATATATATATATATATATATATATATATATATATATATATATATATATATATATATATAAGGGGTGGGGGTGGGGCAGGGGGAGTGGGGGTTGCCCCCATTGTGGGTCTACCCATGACTACATATACCAAAAAGTTGATAACATCTATCACCTTTACGTAATTAAGGTGGTGCTCATCACAAATAAGGCACCTTCCATAAGGTAGGTGCTAAATTAATCATCAAAATGAAGCACCTGTAACTATATATACCAAAAGGTTGACAACATTTATCACCTTTACATAAGGTGGTGGCGGTGGTACTTACAAATAAGTTGTTTAGGTAGGTGCTAAATTTAGAAAGCACCTTTTGGTAATGTTTTCGTAAGGTGCTCAGTGCTCACAAATAAGGTGCTTAGGTAGGTACGTGCAAAATTTAGGAAGCACCTTTTGGTAGCCTTTCCGTAAGGTACACAGTGCTCATAAATAAGGTGCGTACTTAGGTACCGATAGGTGTTAAATTTAGGAAGTACCTTTTGATAGCGTTTTCGTAAGGTGCTCAATGCTCACAAATAAGGTGTTTTATTAGCACGGAAATGAAGCATTTTTGGTAACTACTATACCAAAAGGTTGACGATAACACATTTTCGTAAGGTGCTCACAACTAGCATACCATTCAAACTCCTTTTTAAAATTGAATTGTATATATACTAGTATGTGCAAATCCACATCATTTTCCAATTGCGATAAATGCTACTCCTAAGCCTTCGCACAACTCAATTTTTTCAACTCAAAATGGGTTTACATTGAAACTCAATTTTCTCATTCACTCATTATCCGTTTTGAGCGTACGATATATTGGTTTCTTCGTCTCCCGGCCTATGAAGAACTTGAATCCATTTTGACCTTACCCAAATTAAAAATGAACAACTTCGATCCACATATATTTATACCACAAAATAGTCACTTAAATGCTAATATTTTAACTAAAATTTCCAACATGTAGTATGCTATAAGCTTCAGTTATACTTGAAGGGTTATTGAAGAAAAAGTAAAGTCAAACTTTTTAAATTTTTTAAATAATATATAAAGCATAAAGAACTAAAAACTATAAGAAGACCACCCCCAACAGTGTCTTATAAAAAGAAGGTGTTTGATATCCCAGGAGGAGAGTAATGTATCAGAATCCCAAATTGTGAGACTCAAGATGAGATGTTTGTCATCACATCTATATTATACATTTAATATATAGTTTCTCTCGATGAATGTGCGTCAAAAAGCAAATTTAAGTGATTCTGATTGACAAACTACCACAATAAGATAAATTTGTGTAATTAAGTTGTCTGTAGTTAATTAGTTCAAACAATTAAGACTAATAGGCAACTCCAATCTCATGATGAATAGTTAAATTTGAAACATTGTAGTTACCCTACTAACTAGGTTATTATCAACTTGGTTTGGGATAAGTGCGTCTTGATCTAATATTCATCAATTCAAGTTCAGGTGCTTCTAAATAATGTATTCCAGCCAACTACTGTGTAGTGTGATGGCATTTTGGTTACCTATTCAAATAGATGGGCATAGGTCTGAACCCTGGTGTTTGGGACTTAGACTTGTTAGGCTGAAAATGTTTTAAAAAGTATAAAAAAAAATACTATCTTGTAAAAATTATGAGTATTTCAAAATAATAATAATATATTCCAAGTTTTGGTCCGAGAATATATAGTAAAACGTTTGGGCACCCTAATCTTATTCATCCCAGAATCAAAGAGACTACTGTACTCATAGATTGACTAACTTTAAATGATAGGCCAAGCACTTTGTGCCCAAGTGGCATCTCTGTGACTCTCCTTGAGGGAGTGTCACAAGATCGAATCTTAGTGGTGAGGTATTGACTCTTTGGATTGTAGTAGATAAAGAAAATACAGAACATATACTACCTTCTAATAGAGTCAATAGTATTCAAAAAAGAAAAAAAAAAAACTTTAAGTGAACTTTTTTGTATTTTATATTACTTTTAATGGTTGTTTAATTTGAGATATATAAATTTATATACTAGTATTAAACTAAATATTACAAAAATTAGATTGTAAATAAATTGTGTCAAATCAAATCTCATTAACGAAACATACATACAAAACGAGATAGATGAATTGATATATATATATATATATATATATATATATATATATATATATATATATATATATATATATATGGCTAACGGCACGTGCATTGCACGCGCCACCTAGGCACAGCAAGTGCACAAAATGCTCATCACCTGCCAGGTTTCTTTTTAGATTTTTGTTGTCAATCGGGACCCCCTAAAATACTTAATTTGCAGGAGGCAAAAATCTCAAAAAAAAAAAAAATCACTACTCCCACTAATTAAAAAGCAATTGTTTGTTTTTTTTTTTTCCTATTTGAGTAAAAATCATTGATATGGTTGCTCTAGATTAAAAGAAATTTCTAGATCCCTCCCGGAGACATGTCTCGATATCAGTTTCAAAATCTGTACGTATACCCAACCTACAGTCCTAATATGTTTATGCGTCATAGCTATATATCCCTGCAAATTAAATCAATAACCAGCCAACAAAATCACATTTCTACCATAACCATGGCGGTAAATCAGCAAATGATATTCCACAGGGGCGACAAGGTGGATGTGTATGACAATGACGGGTGGTGGGCCGGGGAGATACCGGAAAAGTTGGGGACACGTACACGGTGTACTTTGATTACAGTATAGAAGAGATTGCGTATACCGTGGACCGACTAAGACTCCATCTTGATTGGATTCATGTCTGAGCTAAGTGGGTTGATTCCATGGGGAGGTCTTTAACTTGGTTTTTCAAGTCGTCTAGGTTTTGTGTTCTTAGGCTTTGCCATGTTTTTAATGATTATTTCTCATTGTTCTTTGTATTATCATTTGAGGAAGATGATGTTACATTGCTGGCTATCAAGATAGTTTTCTAAGTGTCTATTTGCGAGTCATTGTTGTAATTTATGATTTACGGGGAAAATTCGTAGGCACTACTACTGAAATGTGTGTTTTAAGTAGGTTGACAACTTGTTGATCAGTAACTACTAAAATAAAGGTTGACAACAACACATGCATTTTCGTAAGATGCTCACAAGTACCTTACGGTGCTATGTAAGCACCTTCCGTGAGGTGCTCAATAATTAGCACCTCATGGAGGTACTAAATTAAGCATTGAAAGGAGTCACTTTTTGATAGCCTTTTAGTAAGGTGCTCACAAATAAGGTACGTGCTATGTAAGCACATTTTGTAAGGTAGGTGCTAAATTAAGCACCGCACCTTTTTGTAACCTCCAAGAGGTAAACAACGACACCTTCACGTGCTCACAAATAAGGTGCTACGTAAGAACTTTGCAACAAAGTAGGTGCTAAATTTAGGATTTTGTAAGGTGCTCTTCACAAATAAGGTGCTAATAAAGCGCCGAAATGAAGTACCTTCCTCTAAGAGCATCCACACTAAGAGGATAATGTGGGGAGCATGTCAGATGAAATCTTCTTGTTCAAGTTCAAAGCTAATATAGGGAAGATTTATTTGGGGAAGAATGCCTCTGCAAAATTGGAGAGAATGGCAGAAAAAGAAAGAAAAGAAAAGGGGGTTGCTGTGCGCGTTTCGCGCACAGCAACCCGCCCACACGGGCACGTCAGGTGCGCCAAACGGCGCGCCTGACCCTTTAGTTTTTTTATTTTTTTTTTTGTTTTTTAATTTTTGATTTTGATTTTTTTTTTCCTCCCCTTCCCACATTCTCTCTCTTAATCACTCTTACATTATCCCCCAATTCTCCCCAACCATTGTGGATGCTCTAACTATATATATCAATTAAAAGGCTGACAACATTATCACCTTTATGTAAGGTGGTGCTCATCACAAATAAGGTGTCAATTATCGCTGATGTATCGATCATGTTATTAAAAAAAATATTTTTAAAATTTATTTAATAATTTTAAATAAAATTTTAAAAAAATACATTCTCAGCTGAAGGTTTTTTTTTAAAAAAAATATTTTATTTAAAATTATTAAAATAAATTAAAAATATTAATTTGTAACAAAATGACTGCCAAGTCAGTGATAACTGAAGAAACAAATCAATTTTGATTTAATTATATAATATTAAACGGCTCACTGACACAATTTTTATAATCTTTTTAATTAGATAATCGAATTGCATTATTATCTGTAATTCGATGTCTTATTTTAGTTATTTCAACAATATTCCTTAAATAAATTCAAAAAGCTTTAATTTTTTTTTCACTTTTTTCGAGTGGTTTGTGTAGGTGCATGCAATGTCCTACACAGTGCCAGCTCAGTTCCCAAATTTTTTATTATACCCAACCTACATTCCTAATTTGCTTAATTATGCGTCTTTCTCTTTTATATATATATATATATATATATATATATATATATATATATATATACACGCCTAACGGCACGTGCATTGCACGCTCTAGTTAGATGTAGCAAGTGCGTGAAATGCTCACCTGCCAGGTTTCTTTTTAGATTTTTGTTGTCAATCGGGGCCCCCTAAAGGTTTGTGTAAGTGCATGCAATGTCCTATACATTGCCAGCTCAGTTCTCAAATTTTTTATTATACCCAACCTATATTCCTAATTTGCTTAATTATGCGTCTTTCTCTTGTATATATATATATAGGCACTAATCCCACTTATTTATACCTGTCCCTGAAAATCAAGAAAATTCATATTTCTTCACTTCCCTATCCCTAACCATGGTGGAAATGCTATTCCGCAGGGGCAACTTGGTGGAAGTAGCAAGCCTGCAAGAAGGGTTCCGGGGTTCCTACTTCGATCTGATTCTGTGTTTTTAAGGTTTTTGCATGTTTGTTGTTTTTAATAATAATATTATTATACATTTAATTATTGGCATGCACGATGATTGCACGCCAAAGAGAATCCCAAATTGTGAAATTAAAGATGAGATGTATGTTAATTACCCCATCTATATTATATATTTATTAGATTCACCTTTTGAACGCTATGATAATTTAATCAAATCTTTAAATTGGTTATTCAATTTTAAAAATTTGAGTATTGATATAATTTTAAATAATTTTTCATTAAAGGAAAAAACTCAACTTGATATAGTAAATAATTTAATTTAATAGATTCTTATATATATATATATATATATATATATATATATATATATATATATATATATATATATATATATACGGGTTTTTGACAAAAATATAATAGATCTCTTTACTGACCTGCTCATCTTAATTTATCCAAATTTTATATTCTATCCATTTCGGTCCAAACCATTTAGAAACAACAAAAACACGTAATTATTATTTTAAGGACGAGGAACCACAAAAAAGATAAATCAATCACTGAGTGGTTCAAATCAAAAGATAAATAAATCGCTTCTGAGTGTAAAACTTGTAATCTTATGATTACCAACTACCAAATCAACCGTCTAACCAATCATTATACCACGGATCATGGTTCACCTTGTAATTAAGGTTTTTGAACCACTAACATAAGATTTATTTTTAATATATCGAATGTTTATTTTTTGTATGCTGAAGATTCATTATTTGGTATAGTATCTAAAAATGAGTTTTCAGTGCATTAAAAATAAACTTTCAAGTTATATACTAAAAACAAACATTTATCCATGGTCCACAATATAATTTGCCCAGCCTGACTAACTTGGTTGGGGTACACCCCAACACACTTTAAAGATATAGCAAGAATCATCATAAACACAAAAAGTTGGAATTTTTTTTAGACCAACCAAAGCCTTGAGGCAAAACATTATTTGAAGATTCACTCACATAGGCACTATATATGACTTATATAAAGTAATGTATACAAACATAGGGTGAAACTGAAGTCTGAAGAGACTTGTTACATCTTAACCAGTATTCTGCATTCCAGCTGCAATTCCTTTCATGGTCAAGATGATGGTATCTTCCAATCCAGGAGCATATTCACTGGTGGGGTTAAGCATCACCAACTCGGTAGCGGGTTTTCTGGATTCTGTGATCTCCTGTGCCAGATGTGGATTGTAGCTCGGATCGCGTATCCTCTTCAGTGTATACGCTTGAGAGACGTTGAGCGTTGTGATGTAGGCGTCTCGCAGACTCAGCCTCTGCTTCAAGTATGGATCGCCTTCGAGAAGATCTTTGTGTCCAGCAACCTGCAGAATTTGCAGAAATTAAGGTAAAGAATAATAGATTCTTGATTTTCTTGGATTCTTGATTTTCTTGAAAGAAATGGCAGTGGATCTTACCTGGAGGAGAAGGCTTTTGGCTTCTTGGAATTTGGTTCTTAGCTGTTCTCCGAATGGCAATAGATCCTTTGATACCAACAGCTTATCGTACAAAGCTGCAATGCCTGGATCGCCCTTGGCGAACACCATTTCAACGAGGTCGAGTGTCACTCTGAAGAAAGGCCATTCCCGGTACATGTCCTTCAGCATCTGCAGGTTTCGGATATCTTTCTCGATGACGTGTTTGAATGCAGCTCCAAAGCCGAGCCAGACGGGGAGGTGAAACCTCGTCTGAGTCCAGGCGAAGATCCATGGAATTGCACGGAGTGACTCTATTCCCCCGCTTGGCTTTCTCTTTGCAGGCCGGCTCCCAATGTTCATTCGCCCATATTCTAGCTCGGGCGTTGCCTGCAACAAATTAAAGAGGTTAAAGGGAGTGTTACAGACTCTGATACCAAATTGAAGCATGTGCTCCATCTTAACTAAAAGGCTAAGCTGATAGTTGGATTGCACATTAATGGTTATATAACAGATGGTGAGGATGTTACGAGTCGGAAGTATTCAACGAATCGAGGCTCCTGGAAGACCACGGAGCGATACTCTGCAGTGGCAACGACAGACATCTCGTCAAGAAGGGCCCGCCATTCGGGCTTTGGGGCGATAGGAGGGTGCATTCCGTGCTCGAGTGTGGCTGCAGTATAGCGCTGCAGCGTTCTGAAGCACAAGTGTTCCTCCCCGAAGGACTGCTCGATGACTTCCCCTTGAACCGTCACGCGAAGGGATCCGTGGATTGTGTCGGGCGGCTGTGACAAAATGGCGAGATGGGTTGGACCGCCTCCTCGCCCCACGGTCCCTCCCCGTCCATGAAACATAGTGAGCTTCACACCATACTCCTTCGCCACCTTCACGAGCTCCTCTTGAGTCTTGTACAGCTGCCACGCTGCAGAGAGCCGCCCAGCGTCTTTCCCTGAATCCGAGTATCCAATCATGACTTCTTGCTTCCCGTCGATCCTGTTCCTGTACCAATCTATCGTAAACAGCCTAGCCAGAGCAGCCGGTGCAGCCTCGAGATCGTCGAGTTTTTCAAACAAAGGCACGACTCTCAGCGGATTCTTGACATGACACTCTCTCTGCAGAAGCTCTACAGCGAGCACATCGGATGGGGCCGTGGCCATCGAAATAATGTAGGCGCCAAAGTTATCCGAGGGGAGTTCAGCAAGAACATGAAACGTGTCGAGCACATCGGAAATTTCTTCGGTTTTAGGCAGGTCGGGGCCGAAAAGAGGGCGCTTCCCGCCCAGCTCAGATAGCAGCCATTCCTGCCTGCGCTCTTCCGACCATTCTTTATACGATCCAATCCCTAAATGCAGCGTGATTGCATCCAGAACATCGGTGTGCCTATCGGACTCTTGTCGTATATCGAGCCTCACGAGCGAGAGCCCAAAGGTGGAAACTTGCCTCAGAAAATCGAGAAGGCTTCCATCTGCAATAGACCGGTCACCACAGGCGCATAGCGATCTGTAGCATACTTCAAGAGGCTCCAGAAACTGAAACCACAAGAGAAACCATCACTTCATAGCTTTACACAAAGACACATATAGTGAAGTTTAATTTCTCGAAAGACAGACCTGTTCGACGTTTGTAAACGTTGCCTCCTCGGGAATATCAGAGAAGCCATTCGCTAGTAACTGGCGAGCACGCTCCCTCGTGCTGTACAGTTTGTCTCTAACATCAGCAAGAATCACTCGGTAAGGCTCATTCGGGGGAATCTGTTTCCAAAACTCTGCATAAACGACAAAAATTTTGGCGTAAAAAATCGAGAGAGAGCTGCCACATCTCTTTTAGAACACGATTACACGAGTATAATACCAATATAGTGTTTGACATCTCTTTTCGAGGTCCTATGAAGGTCATCTGCCCGACCACGCAGTTCTTCACTGCACCGCCACATTGAGAGCTGGAACGAGAAATATCAGAAACGAAGTCAATGCCAAAGGGTCGAACTAACAGAAGAATATGTCAGCCATTTTCGATAATCCATCACCTCAAACATAAGATCTTCAATCTGAGAAAAGTACATGTTGGCAGCCATCATTCTAGCCAATAAGCACACATCCCTTGTAACTTCTGGGGTTACTCTCGGGTTGCCTGATATATAATTTGAATAAACAACCAAAAAAAGGAAAAAAAACGTTACTTCGTTTTATAATTTATGGTTAGATTTATACCATATATATCATCAAATGAAGCAATTCTTGATCTGAAAGGATACTATTATCTGTGCTTCTAAAACATGGAATAGCTATCAATGCAAGTGATAAAGTTTCAGAAGCTTTGAATCATCATTTACTTCCATTATAAGCAAATTTTCGATAACGGGTATATATTTAGCCACTAAAAATGACTCTCAAGAATGAATGTGGAAAATGGATTCTTGTTGAAAAGGGTAAATACCATCTCGATCCCCTCCCATCCATGAAGAAAATTGGATAAGCGGGGCATTGTAGGGGACGCGCTCATTGATCCCAATATTCTTCAAAGCTGTGTCAACACGGCGCAAGAACTTTGGCACTCCCTTCCATATAGTTTCGTGGAAGTAACTCATCCCAGCCCTCATCTCGTCTTGTGGAGTCGGTGGGGTCCTCCTGATTTCATCGGTGCGAAAAGCTGCCTGTATCTGTGTGTAGTGAAAAACAGATAGAACGGTTAATGAAGTAAAACACGCCAAGATTCATGAACTGTAGAAGCCAAAAATTCTTCAAAATCTAGCCTACCTCTCTCTGTAGAGCCTCATCGAGCTCCTGCTTATCATCAGGAGTGATGTCTTTAGCATACAACTGAGTCAAACAATCCCGAATCCTGGAAAAGAGAGAAACGGGCTAAAGTCACTATATCTGAATGTTATCCGTTAAGGTTTATAGGAGGCTTGAAGCACAGAAAACAAATGAATTGCATAAACATCCAACCCTCCACCTCGGGGGCATGTCCCCGAAGCCAAAAAACAATGAAAATCGAACAGACCTTGCATGTTTTTGAAGCAAAGATCTACGAACAGACTGAGTAGGATGGGCGGTGAGCACAAGATCAACTGTCTGGTTCTTTATAGCATCAAACACTTCTTCGGGGGACTTATTCAGTTGTCCTACAAGCCTCCTAAGAGTCTCTTCGATGTCCGATTCAGTTGTGGCAGACGCCTCATCAGACAAATCACGCTTCTTGAACTTACTCCTCCGCCTCGAGGCTATCTGAACCTCTTCAGCCAGATTGGCTAAGTTAAGCATATTGGAAAACGCTTTGGTAACCACAATGGAATTCCCGGGATCCAGACTAGTAATCACCCTCCCAAGCTCCTCTAGTTTCTGGGTATCTTGCTTCCCTTCATATTCTGCTGAAAGCTCATAGCATTCTTGAACCTAGTGGAAATTCAACCAGTTTACAGTCATGACAGATGCTTTTGTGTGATATATTTAGTTAAAATTCTATTGATGATGAGCGGGCAAAAGCCCCCAGATCCCCCGGTTTGTGAGCCAGGTTCCCCCCTTCTTTTTTCTTGGCACGAGATGCCGTTACACCATACACGGTAGGCGAAAGACCAAGCACAAATCTCGATGATGAAACATTTTGGTATTTCTACATGTGATTCACTGCCGAAAGCTCCTTCTTGTACGCTAGCACTTGAGGGAGGTGGTTCGGCTACCTTTTTCGTCGTGTTTGCCGATGGAACATCAAATAAAAAATTGATTGATCTCTTATTACTATGCCATTGATGAAGATTCATAGCTTGGCAAAAAACCTGAAATCCTACCTTCCGGCATTGCGATAAAGTGTTCACAAAGCAGAGTGAAAGGCACCCCATCGAGAGAGAGGGCAGGGGAAAGACCCGGCCTCTTTTGTTGCTCTTTGTCTTTTGGGTTAGCTCTTCCTGTCCTGACAAACCTTCTTGAGTGAGAATGCTACCGCTACGCCCCAACGAGGAGAAAGTGAGCTCTTTTCTTTTGTAGCTCCTCGCTGCTCTAGTCAGTGTATAACTCCTATTAATGAAGCGCGCAGCACTCCGCGATCTCAGGGCTTGGAAGACCCTTCGCCAAAGGGCGTCGTTGCTACTTTTTGCGTGACTACTGATAGTGATGACCTACTTCACTCCCCGCTACCGAATACTGCTGAGACAAATGGGTCGAAGCAAGGGCGGTGAGGCATGGCCAGAGAGGTGGCGAAGTTCTTGTATGAGGATGTGGTGATTCTATTTTTTTCCCTTTAGAGCTTGTGATTGAGGAACGCATTTGGCATTTTCTTAATGAAGTGATTTTGCATTTAAAAATGCATTACTAGGCTATGAGAGCCTTATAGAGGAATATAATAGTTACAGAAATGCTTTACACTTCTACTATTCTTAGAGCCTTCCGCGAGGAATATAAAGTTGTCGTTTCTGTAACCCTCTACCTCGCCCCGGAAAGTCCCAAAAGCCGGTCTCTCTGTTCGGCGTGCGGTCGAGTTGGCACTCTCGCAGACGTATCTTGGAGAAGGGAGCAATCCCATGGGTAAGGCAACGGGTGGGTCACTACTTCTGTTACTTGTTCGTTTTTCTTGGAATCCGTGAAATTCTATGCGCCGGAACGGAATTTACTGCGGAGCTATATAGAAGGCACTAATAGGTATTAGGGCCAAGCAATTGAAAGGAAGCCCTCGGCGTGTGAGAGGACCCCTTTTCAGTTCCAAACCGGTACCAAGGAAGCCACTAAAAGGTATAGGTGTTCCTACCTATCCACTGACTATAACAATATGTTCTATATGTGTCTGTAGCTTAGCGCAACAAAAAACAGAATCAAACTCTTTTAGTAGCCTATTGCTACTAAGAACACCTTTCGGGGGGAATATAATAAACCTGTGTGAAACCCCAGCAAGCTTCAAGAAAAAAGGGTTAATGAATACATATCAAAAGGTCCCTTTTAAGAAATGAAATAAAACATCATGAACAACTATACCTATCGGTCGAGCTACTCCGTTCCTCTATAAATAAAAATAGGCTAGAATGCTTCTATTGAGCAAGAAAACAAGTAAAAAAGGCAAGCAACGCGCATCCGTTTTCTTGGTCCGCTACGCCACCCGGCCTCGAATAGGAGGGGGCTTAGCTCTGGATCCTCCCTGCTTGCAGAAATGAATGGATCAGAAGCTTTTCTTAGAATGTTGTTGTGAAATATATATATATATATATCGTAAACTATCGGATCGGGTATTACTTAGATGTGAAACTTGCAGACCTCATTGGTTGTGATATTTATCTTACGGGGGGAACGAAATAAAAGAATATATAGGCTTGTAGAGACCCTCTATGTAGTTGTCTATCTAGGGCGATCGATCTACATCTTTCCCCATAGCCCTGGGGCTGTGTCTCGATCTCCTATGCGCGAAATCTAAGGGACTAGTTCCTATAGAGATTCCCCTGGGTCTAATTCCACGCCTTATGACGAAAGGGGAGTCGGCGTGGCGTAAAGTGAAGATTGGGGGGAGTAGAGAAAATTCCCTTCTGGGGTATTCCGAAGGTGTAAACCTAGGCAACGAAAAAGGGGCCCGATACTTCAACTAGAGGAGCGACCAGTTGGTTCACCAAACCCCGACCCAGCGTCACACGTTCTCCAGGTCCGAAGGGATCCAGTGCCCAACTACCGACTCCTCCCGGAATTGCGTTATCGGAGCCGAGCCAGGAATGGCCGTTAGTGGACACCCACCACTTTTCACCGGTTAGAGAGGCCCTCTTTAATACATTAAGAAAAGATGTTCACAGGGGCCAGAAAGACTCGGTCATAGGAATTTAGACCACCTACGTGCTGGTAAACGAAAACCACCTCGACCGGATCAGAGTAAACAACAATGTCGAATCAGGCCCCTTGAAAGAATTCACACGCGGCCACCAGCTTTCCCAAAATAAGGGGAGATCTGCTGCTTACTGCTCACGGAAACATCCGACACCTATACTATAGTAAAGTCGTTCGCGTATCTCCTTTCCTTCTATTCATCAGATTTTTTGCTTTGACCAATTCAAGGTGAAAAAAGGGGTTGGCTAAAAAGGGGGAGAGAGGAGAGCCTTAGGGTACGCTCACCCAACAATCTAAGTGGCTTTCGTAGAATTCAAAAAAATTGATTAGGTTAGTTTCTCATTTGATTTTGCCAAGTTCTTGTAGCGCATTCACTAAGTTACTTACGGAATATCCAATCTGGAGGCTGACTACGGCCTCAGATGATTAGGCGGGGACAGGATTCGAACCTGCAGTCTTCAGGTCATGAGCCTGATGAGTTTACCAATTCCTCTACCCCGCTTCTTCCCCCTCTCTTTCTTTCTTTGACCTGGCACACTGAACACTAAAAAAATCTCACCTAACTTCATGTGCACTACACTCGATCAATCCACGAAGGTTTGGCACTTCGGAACCCTCTGCTAGCAGCTTTCTTAATAGACTTTCAATTCAATTTTGAGTGCATGAATCTTAATATAGCTATTTTGAAGCTCCTAAAAAAAACTCTTATCTTATATACGATAGCACTCGCCATGGATGATACGATTACCTTTCTTGCTCGTCTCTTGATTGAAATGGAAATGTATTTGGCTGCCTCCCTTTGACGTTGCTTGAAATGATAAACTGTCTCAACTTTTTTGCTTTTTCTAAATATGTTTCAATTATATGCTTTTGGGATCTTTGCCTTGCAAATGAGGCGGTTGAGCTTAACGCCCCCTTAGCGGCCAGCTGCTTCAGATGCATCGCCTCCCCGAACCCAAGCACCTTTGGAAAAAGATCTCAGTTTGCATAAAGAACCTTTAGGAAAAACTGTTGTTTTCAGGTAAAGTAACCTTACCCTTCTTTGGAAGAAAAAAAGGAACTCTTTAGCGGTTTAGCAAGATAGCTGCCAGAAAGACTGAGCCCACGGAGCGGTGCATAGCGCTTAAAGAAGTGGTTTAAGAGTCGCTTTCCGTCCCGACAAAAATTGACTACTTACTTTCCATTTCAAGGGGGATTTTCTTTACCTGACTTGCCTTCAAGCAGCAATGAGAGCAAAGCAAAGGCTGTTCGGTATTATGAACCTGAACCTGATTGCCCATTAGTAATGTAAGGAACTTCTTGATCTATTGATTCAATGAAATTGAGCATTGCCTTGAATGTCGCATTCACTTCCTCGGACATGTTGGCAGTGAAGTTCCTTGCTTTCTCTCTAAGCCCTTAGTCTTGCAAAAGACCATTCCCTCACAATAGGTGCCTCCTTCTCCTCTCAGATGTCCATTCAAAAGACATTTCTCTTGTTCGAGGCATATGAATCTTTTCGATATGCCACTCACTCAAGTGCCATATCTGATTCAACAGCGGCACCGTCTATTGCAAACATAGCACTGGTTTAAAAAAACATCGCTTATAGCGCAAGGGATGCAGATTCCATTCCTGAAACCCTTCCACCGGGAAAGAGCCAAGCAGCTGCTATTTGAACAACGGATAGGCACTAATACAATAGGATTTACCCGTAATACAGAACCTCTAGGTGTAACCTTCCGCTCAATACTAGAATCGATAAATGAAACATAGCATTTGAGGTTGCATTAATCGAGGATACACGACAGAAGGAATTGTTCTATTTCCAAACTTCACCTTCAACTTGAAAATTGGATTTTTTTCAATAATTTGGCGTGTCTTTCTCGTAAGACTGAGAGAAATGACTAAATATTCAATAAAATATTCTAAAGTAAACTAAGAATCAAATCGCACCATCTCTGTAATAGGTAAATGCCTCTTTTTCTCCTGAAGTTGTCGGAATTATTCGTAATAAGCTAAAGATTCTAAAAAACAAAACAAGCAACGGCTTTCGCGTCAGCCCTTGCTTGTTTCCAGCCGTTGCTTGTTGGTTGGTGCTAATCTAAGGTAGCTGCAGAAGAAAGAAAAGAAGACGGTAAAAGTACATCGGCATCAATGCTGCTGCCCAGCTTCTCCTCGATCCGGGCCTTGCGTGTTTGTTTTGCATAATTGAATAATCTTTTTTTTATCTTTCATCCACTCTTCAATCTTAGGGCTTCCGTAGCAGGTCAAATGTTGAGTGAATTAGAAAGGATTCCAAGAGTTTGACCTCGCGGGAAAATCCGAACTCGCTCGTTTCCAATCCGGTTGAAAGGACGAAAGGAGGTTAGGAAAGGAGATGAGTCTTTCTTTATTATGAAAACACATAACTGAAAGGCCTTGATCTAACGGACTCTGTACCACAGATACATGTTATTCACTGAAAATGTAAGGCACCCAACACTCTCTCTTTCTATTGCGACAGGATTCTTCTTTCTTTCATCTGCGCCTGAGACCAGGAGCTTCGTCAAGAACAGTCAAAGCAGTCAAGCCCAGTAGGCACTAAGAAGAGCGGCTACTTCAGAGTCGATAGCAGTAGC